TGCACTCATTTATTCTCGCAACAAAAGAGCAGCTTCTATGTGCCAGGTCATATGTGCCAACCCTGGAATACCACTATGAAAAGACTCACACAGCTCTTTCCCTCACAGAGCTTCCTGACCAATGACAGAGATAGATCAGCATCAAAGATGAGACAACTACCTATGAAATTACCATTGTGACACATGCTTTGAAGGAGAAATACTAATACCCCAAATGCCTACCAAGGAATTTGACCTGGGGATAAGGTGAGGTTAGAGTAAGATCTGTGAAAGCTCTGGTTTGAGCAGGGACCTGAAAGAAAAGGAGGAATAAGCCAGGTAAGGTGGGAGTGAGGGACATTCCAGAAGACGACAAGCATGAGGAGTAGGGAAGGGGTTACAATATTTAGGGAGGGACTAGCAGGGGCTACAAATAAACATATATAAAAAGGATGTCAACTGTAAGAAACTCCCTACCACAGTCATTCCCCAGGCTGCCTGAGGCCCTTTTGCCATCTCTCTTTCTCATTGGTCTCTTCTAAAAGGACACTTTAAACCCACTGCCCCGAATGGATGCTTCCAGGAGAATACAGTGTGACATGCACCTGCTCCCATGCAGCTGGCCTGAGCTGCTGGGCCACTGCTCAGTGGTAGGATCCTGTTGGACTCTCTCTTGCCCTCATGGGTGCCAATCAAAACCAGGATCTAGTCACTAAAGGGGACCTTGTTAGCAGAACCCCCGAGAAAGAAAAAAGTCAGCCAGACACTCAGGCCATAGGAAAGATGAGGCTGATAATGAAAGACAGAGCTGAGAGCAGGAAGCAGCCCCCTCCCTATCCAAGTATACATAAGTTTACAATCAGTGGTCAGATGAGGGTTCCACATTTAAAAAGACATTTGCCCACAGAGCCACAGCTGTATCTGACTGTCAGAAGAAGAACAAATATTCAAGTGACTCTGAGGTCACTAGTGTCTACAGATGACAAGGAGAACCCAGCATTAGGAGGGTAAGGACTCATCACTAAGTAGGAACTGTCCTGTCTCCTCTTCCTCCCTCCACACTCATCTGTCCAGGACCCTTGGGGGTCCCACCTCTCCTGCCAGCCTGGGAGCTTCTCCCGAGAAGGTCCCAAGGGTACAGGGTCCACCTCTCACTGGTTGAACTGTGCTTCTTGGCAAAGGACCCCACAGTGGAATGGCCAGCTCTTGAACTCTTGTCACACAAAGAAGTCAACACCCTAGGTGCAGAGATTTTGAGTTTAGGGAAGTAAGGGTTGAAGAGAGAAGCTACTTGGCTAGTTCAATTGTCAGCTCAGCTACCAACAAGCAGTAGACCATTGACAGCTCACTTGGCATTTGCAACCCTCCCTTCGAACATCTGTAATACAGCATTGACAGCAATGACTCTCTCATATGATGGGTGTGAAGGGGTCTCATTGACAGTGAGACACCAGCAAAGATGAGGGATGAAGAGAGCTGCTATAATTTTTTCTTCTTTCCTTTTTTCTCATTGGGAGTTCAGGTGTGGAAAGCCCAGAGAAGCAGGCTATTGATTAGCATACAGTCATGTGTCACTTAACAACAGGATATGTTCTGAGAAATGCGTCATAGGAAGTTTCATCCTTGTGGGAACATCATAGAGTGTCTTTACATAAACCTAGATGGGAGGGATAGCCTACACACCTAGGCTGTATGGTCTAGCCTGTTGCTCCTGGGCTACAAACCTGTACAGCATGTTACTGTAACATAATAGTAATGATTTGTTATCTAAACACAGAAAAGGTACAGTAAAAATACAGTATAAAAGACAATAAATGGAGCCAGGAGCAGTGGCTCATGCCTGCAATCCCAACGGTTTGGGAGGCAAAGGTGGGAAGATTGCTTGAGCCCAGGAGTTTAAGACTAGCCTGGGCAACATGGTGAAACCCCATCTCTGAGAAACAAAAAGAAAGAGAGGGGGAGAGAGAGAGAGAGAAAGAGGAAGGGAAGGGGAAGGGGAAGGGGAGGAAGGAAAAGAGAGAGGAAGGAAGGAAAGAAGGAAGGAAAAGAGAAAGGAAGGAAGGGAGGAAGGGAGGGAGGGAGGAAGGGAGAGAGGGAGGGAGGGAGGGAGGGAGGGAGGGAAGGAAGGAAAACTAGCCAGGCATGGTGATACGAAGGGAGGGAGGGAGGGAGCCTGAGAGGTCGTGGCTGCCATGAGCCATTATTACACCACTGCACTTCAACCTGGGCAACAGAGCGAGACCCTGAAACAAACAAACAAACAAAAGATAAAAATGGTACACTTGTATAGGGCACTGACCATGAATGGAGCTTGCAGGACTGGAAGCTGCTCTAGGTGAGTCAGTGAGTGAATGGTTAGTGAATGTGAAGGCCTAAGACATTACTGTGCACTACTGTAGACTTTATAAATACTGGACACTTAAGTTCACTAAATTTATTTTTAAAATACTTTTCCTTCTTGAATAATAAATTTAACTTACTATAACTTTTTAACTGTACAAATCTTTTGTTTTACTTTTTGACTCTTTTGTAATAAGTTAACTTAAAACACAAACACATTGTACCACTGTACAAAAAAAATTCTTTCTTTATATCCTGATTCTATAAGCTTTTCTCTCTGAAATTTTTTTTTACATTTTCAACTTTTTGTTAAAAATGAAGACACAAACACACACATTACCCTTGGTCTGCACAAGGTCAGGATCTTGCCCCACTGAAAGGTCTTCAGGGAGCAGTAACACACAAGGAGCTGTCATCTCCTGTGATAACAGTGCCTTCTTCTGAAACACCTTCTGAAGGACCTACCTGAGGCTGTTTTACAGTTAACTGTTTTTTTTATAAGTGGAGTATACTATAAAACAATGAAAAAAGCATCGTAAATACATAAACCAGTAACATAGTCATTGGTTACCATTATCAAGTGTTATATACTATAGATAATTTTATGTGTTATACTTTTTTAATGTGCAAATGCACTTCTTTATTTTTTATTTCCATAGTTTTTTGAGGAACAGGTGGTATTTGGTTACCTGAGTAAGATCTTTATTGTTGATTTGTGAGATTTTGGTACACCCATCACCCGAGCAGTATACACTGAACCCAATTTGTAGTCTTTTGTTGCTCACCCCCCTACCCCTCTTTCCCCCGTGTCCCCAAAGTCCATTGTATCTTTCTTATGCCTTTGCATTCTCATAGCTTAGCTCCCACTTATGACTGAGAACATGCTATGTTTGGTTTTCCATTCCTGAGTTACTTCACTTACAATAATAGTCTCCAGTTCCATTCAGGTTGCTGTGAATGCCATTAATTTGTTCCTTTTTATGGCTGAGTAGTATTCCATCATATATATATATACATACATACATACCACAATTTCTTTATATACTTGTTCGTTGATGGGGATTTGGGCTGGTTCCACATTTTTCTAATACTTTTATACAACTGTCAGTACAATAGGTTTGTTTACACCAGCATCACTACAAATGTGAGAAATGTGTCCTGCTGCCATACTAGGACAGCTACAATGTCAGGAATTTTTCAGCTCCATTATAATCTTATGAGATCACTGTTGCATGTACGGTCCATCATTGATGGAAACATTGTTAGGTAGTACACAGCTACATTAGTTTCCTGTGGCTACTGTAACACATTACCATCAACTCAGCAGCATAAAACAATTAAATTTATTCTCTCATAGTTCTGGCAGGCAAAAGTATGAAATCAGTTTCACTGGGCTGAAAGCAAGGTGTTAGCAGAACCACACTACTGAGGTTCTAGGGGACAGTCCTTCCTTGCCAGCTTCTAGTGACACTACTGAGGTTCCAGGGGACAGTCCTTCCTTGCCAGCTTCTAGTGACACTACTGAGGTTCTAGGGGACAGTCCTTCCTTGCCAACTTCTAGTGACACTACTGAGATTCCAGGGGACAGTCCTTCCTTGCCAGCTTCTAGTGACACTACTGAGGTTCTAGGGGACAGTCCTTCCTTGCCAGCTTCTAGTGGCTGCCAACATGCCTTGGCTTGTACCATATCACTCCAATCTTTGCCTCTGTGGGGGTGGGTGAATAAACATAACATAAAGGTTACCATAATAGCCATTTTTAAGTGTACAGTTCAGTAGCATTAAGTACACTCACAATGTTGAGCAACCACCACCATCATCCATCTCCAGAACTTCCCCAACTGAAACTCCATACTGTAAATGCTTACTTCCCATTCCCCCTCCTCCCAGCCCCTGGAAACAACTGTTCTACTTTCTGTCTCTCTGAATTTGACCACTCCAGGTACCTCCTATGAGTGGAGTCACAATGTGCCTCTGTCTTCACATCACCGTCTTCTCTGTGTCTGTGTGTCTCCCTCTGCCTCTCCTTCATAAAGCCAGTTTTGATGGCGTTTAGGGCCCACCTAGATAATCCAGGATGATCTCTCCTCATCTCAAGATTCTTAGTTTGGCCGGGCGCGGTGGCTCAAGCCTGTAATCCCAGCACTTTGGGAGGCCGAGACGGGCGGATCACGAGGTCAGGAGTTCGAGACCATCCTGGCTAACACGGTGAAACCCCGTCTCTACTAAAAAATACAAAAAACTAGCCGGGCAAGGTGGCGGGTGCCTGTAGTCCCAGCTACTCGGGAGGCTGAGGCAGGAGAATGGCGTAAAAAAAACCTGGGAGGCAGAGCTTGCAGTGAGCTGAGATCTGGCCACTGCACTCCAGCCTGGGCGACACAGCGAGACTCCGTCTCAAAAAAAAAAAAAAAAAAAAAAAAAGATTCTTAGTTTAGGCCGGGCACGGTGGCTCACGCCTGTAATCCTAGCATTTTGGGAGGCCAGCCAAGGCAGGCGGATAGCCTGAGGTTGGGAGTTTGAGACCGGCCTGGCCAGCATGGGGAAACCCCATCTCTACTAAAAATACAAAAATTAGCTGGGCATGGTGGCAGGTGCCTGTAATCCCAGCTACTCTACAAGCTGAGGCAGGAGAATCGCTTGAACCCGGGAGGCAGAGGTTGCAGTCAGCCAAGATCACACTATTGCTCTCCAGCCTGGGCAACAGAATGAGACTCCATCTGGAAAAAAAAAAAAAAAAAAAATCTTAGTTTTACCACATTTGCAAAGATTCTTTTTCAAAACACAGTAGCATTTACAGGTGCCAGGGATTAGGACCTGATATCCTTGAGTGGACAGCTCAAGGCTATTACAGTCAGAAATCTGAATGGGGAAGGATTTGCTGGAGAAAGCAGAATTGGAGATGCTTTGAAGTAGGGGAAGGAGCTGCTGGAGGGGGTGAATCCAGGTCCATGGGTAACAGCCAAAAGGTTACCAGGTAAAGAGAGGGGACAGAAAAGGAAACTATTGAGCTGGCCTCAGGCTACCCTTGGAAGCTGATGTCTAGGCATGGGGGCAGTGAAGAAGGAAGATGGAAAGCTGAAAGAGACAAAGTGCTCCTGACCCTTCCTCTAAAGCTGAAGTCAATAAGAGGTTAACCTCTGGAGGATCTGAGCCCCAGCTCAGCCCCTGACATGCTGAGTGACCTTAGGCAAGTCCTCTGTATTCTTTGAGTATCACCTCTACAGTGGGGATCAAATTTGATCTAATAAAGGCTTGCTTAGTGCCTGTCATGCATGTCAGTTTTGGATTGGAACCAGAACTCAGGTTACTGGAACTGCCTCAAACTCTAGATCTTTCCTATAGCTCTTTCCTCTAGATCTCAAATCCCAGACTGGCTTCAGAGAGGGGCCATGGGGTGAGAAGCTGCAAGACACCCAGCCTACCTTCCCCAGAGTCCTTTACAGGGAACTGCCTCAACACTGTTCTCAATCTGGGGCAGCAGGAAGAATGTGTTGGCTGGAAGTCGGAGGCCTGGGTTCAAGAGCCAGTTCCTCTGGCCTTAGGCAGATCACTCTGAAACTGTCTCTGCACCTGTCAAATTTGGCAGAACTTGACCAGCTGGTCTCTTAAGAAGGATCCTGGTGCCAATTTTGACTCTAACCAGGCTCCTGAAGCTCTCTGGGCCTCCATTTATTGCTTATTTCACTGGGGACAATAAGCACTGGATAGGTGCATGTCAATCTTACTTCATCCTAAGTCTCATCCCCTACTATATCTGCCAGCCCCAAGGATGACATTTCCTATTGCTCACCACCATTTCTAAAAGCACAAAGTGGGAACATGACCATTGCTGGTAGAGCAGCAAGCTTCTCTCTGAACACTTATCACCCAACAGACTCAGCAGGGACTTCACAGTTGGGCACAGTTGGCTGCAATTCTGGCTCACCCTCTCATTATCTAGGTAACCTCACAATAATTATGTAACTTCTGGGGACCTCATTTGCAAAATGGAGATAATAACATTTAAGATAAATGAGACAGCATATGGAAAATGTTTCGGCACACTGCCAAGCACATATTTAATGTTCAACAAAATGATTCACTTTTATCTTTCTTATTATTGTCACCTTATCTAGACTCAAAGATGGAGTCTTGAGCTGGGGCCCTGACCTCATAGAGCAGGAGACAGACACAAAAAAGAATATATGAACTATGTCTTATGACAAGTGGTACAGCTTCAGTCTTCACAATGACCCTATTGATATCCCCATTTTACAGACAAGAGCACTGAGACTCAAAAGGGTTAAGTTACTTGGGTCCTAGATCCCTCGGCTGGTAAATGGCCAAGCTGGCGCTCAAGTCCCTGTACCAAAGCCTATACCACTAGTGCAGAGGGGAGGAAGAGGAGGGGATACAGCAAGGAGAAGTGAAGCCTTAGTCCCGATTCTGAGGCTACTCCAAAACCAGCATCCCTCTAGCCCTTCTCCCACTTCACCTCCAGTTTGACACTTGGACCCAGCTGTACGAAAGTCTGAGGTATTTCAATGAGTCATTAATTATTAAAAATGCAGGCAAAAGTCAGCAGTGTAACGTAGGCATCATTGTCTGCCAAACACCTTGCTTTTCTGAAAACTCAGAACCCAGGATGAGAGCAGGTGGAGTGGGAAGGTGAGATGTCACTCAGGACCTGCAGAAGTCGGCTCTCTGAGAGCCATTCCTCAGTGTGACTATTACCCCATGGACCTCAGCTCCCTCTGCAATGTAAGATGAGGCAGAGAAGGATCTCCTGACAGGAGGTGGCCCACAGGCCTGCAGGTACTGCTGAGGACCTCACCATGGCACTCACCTGTGAGCCTCATCCCCCACACTGCCAGCTGACCACCCTTCAGTCAACCTACCAGTGAGGCTGGGATTCCAGGAACACAAAAACCAGGCCAGGCACAGTGGCTCACACTTGTAATCCCAGCACTTTGGGGGCTGAGACAGAAGGATCGCTTGAGCCCAGGAGTTAGAAACTGTAGTGAGTTATGATGGCACCACTGTACTCCAGCCTGGATGACAGGGCAGGACCTTGTAGAGTGATTAGTGTTTCTTGCTTCAGAGACAGGTGTGACCTCTTCGGTGGGTGGTACCAGCCTCTGTGGGCCAAACTCCTGAATTGAGCAGGTAAAAACATGCTCCTGCCTGAGTTGGAGGAATGAAGGAATATCATCCAAAGGCCCAGTGTTACTTCCCATATCTTGGAATTACGGAACTGGGGCAGATGAGTGGATCATCTGAGGACACTGAGCCCAGGAAAGAGATGAGTCTTACTCAAGGTCACAGGTCATGACAGTGGCAGAAACTCCCAGGGTTCTGCTTTGCACCACAGGTTCCCTCTCATTTGGCAAATAACTTACCAAGCACCACCTGTTTTCAGGGTGCAATGGTGCTCCAACTTGCCTCTGTGCTCCTTGTCTTGTGTAGTTCTTCTGTCTGGCTCTTCCGGGTTGCCCCTGCACAATTCCAGGCACATAGTAGGAGCATGATTATTTAATAGTAATATTGGATAACATAACAATCCAATTAATAAGCCAATATGTAATAGTTAATACTAGTAATACTATTACATGCTAATGAGATAATTATATTATCCAATTAATAAGCCAATATTAGTAGTTAATACTATTAACACTATTACATGCTAATGATATAACATATGGTATATGCTTAGCACAATGCATATGTTATCTCATTATTCATTACAATACATTTGTGAAATAGATATTGTGACCCCTGTTTTACAATGGTTAATTTGTTCAAGGTTATACTACTAGCAAGTGATAGAGCTTAGACTCATACTTAGGTCTATTGGACTCTAAAACTCTCTTTAATAATTATTATTTTTATTTTTTAGAGACAGGGTCTTGCTCTGCTGTGTAGGCTAAAGTACAGTGGCATGATCATAGCTCACTGTAGTCTTGAATTGCTGGGCTCAAGTGATCCTCCTGCCTCAGCCTCCCAAGTAGCTGAAACTGCAAGTGTGCACCACCATGTATGGCTAATTTTTTAAAGTTTTTGGAGATATGGGGTCTTGCTATCTTGCTCAGACTGGTCTTAAACTCCTGTCCTCAGGCAATTCTGCTGCTGTGGCCTCCCAAAACTCGGAGATTACAGGTGTGAGCCAACACATCCAGTCTCTGTTCAAGAAATTGTTGCTGAAAGAAGGAATGAATCACTGAGCAAAAGGCACCATACTGGGCTTATGGGAAGCATACAGATCAGTTGTTTATGTATTTTACTAATGCATCCTGCTAAATGAGGAAACAGGTACATAAATACTAAGGCCTAATGTAGATCCACCCATAATAGGGTCATAATAGTGCTTTGAGGTCCAGAGAAGGGAGCAATTTCTTCCATTGGGAGTGGAGTGTGAGGAGGTTTCATGGTGTGAGAGTGCATTTGAACCCAGCCAAGTAGGATGGTAGAATTCGGACAGGTAAAGGTGGCAGATGGAGCAGTAGGCAAGGTAGTCCTGCGAACTCATTGGAAGAAACAGCACTGATGAAATGCAGGAGAAGGGAGATCCTGGGAACAGCAACCAGTCCAGCTGGGTTGGACTAAAGATGTGTGAGGAGGGGAGGTGGGGGGATGGGAAGCCAGAAGCAGGTTGGCACCAGGTGGTGGAGGACCTTGAATGTCAGGCTGGGGCCTTTGGGTTTTCTTCAGTGGAGGAGGTGGGGAGCCCCTGACAAATTTGGGTCAGAGTGACATGGCTCATTATGCAGGATGAGTGAAGGAAGGGGAGACTTGGAGGAGGGAGACCAGAAGAGACTGTTGCAATAATCCAGGGAGGGATGATGTGGCCTGGCCTGAGGTGCTGTTGGGCTTAGTGACGAGAAAAACACTAGGAGAAGCGTTCCAAAGGAAGACTCCATGGGGTCCAGAAATTGGTAAGGGGTGAAATGAGGGCAAGAGTCAAAGAAACAGCATGGGGTCAGAAGGCCTGAGTTCTGATTCCAGCTGAGTGACACAGCCTCCCTGGGCCTCCCTGTCCCACTTGTGAAAGGTAGGGGATGAGTTATGCCATGTCTAGTGGCTTTTCCAGGGGTTATGTTCAAAGTACTCTCTAATTTCCTGGTCTTCAAAAGACGCTGAGCGAGTTGTGACTGAGGCAAGCAGATTTTGGGGGTGCAGACCAGCTGGCTTCCTTGGGGTGGTGAGCTGATTCTGGGCTCCTCTCAGTGAGCTCCTCTCTGGGCTCCTCTCCTCTCTAACTCAGTGAGGTAACTGAGTATCCATGTATACTGTTATATATGGATAGTCAGGAAACTGCAATAACCGTGTTAGCTGCTCTGCTCCCTTAAGCATTTTTTGCAGCAGAGGTATGTTGGCATGACTTAGGTTATTGCCTAAATTGTGTACCTCCAGAGAGGGGAGTGTGTGGCTTCTTGACTTCTCAAAGTACCAACCCACTGGTCGATAAGGCTCAAGTTACGGGACTTGCAAAGGGTCCCAGAGAAAGATCTAAAGTGTCAGAAATCTAGAGAATTCCCTGGAGTCTCCTCTCAGTTCCTCCACCCACAGGCCATCAAGGCTTCAGGTTCCATCCAGAACCTGACTCTGACACAGCTGGAGATGTGGCAAGAGGCCCCAGTAGCATGATGCAGGAACCCCAGAAAGTTTAAAGGCCAATGGGCTGAGAAATTAGGAAGATGGTGGAGGCAGGTTGCTGAGAAGCAGAGAGGGGAAGGGACTTGTTAGGGTGACACAGTGTGTCAGGTGAAACAAGGACTGGAAGCTAGAGTTTTTGAATTCCTTCTCAGATGTTTCTTTATTCTTTCTTTCCCTGAGGACACCCTCTCTGGGCATATATATACACATATGTGTGTAAATGTATGTGTATATGTATGTATAAGTACAGAGTGACACCCTGTCTCAAAAAATATATGTAAATATATAAACATATGTAAATAAATATATATGTATATATGTTTAAAAAATACACATATACATATATATGTATACATATATGTCTCACTTTATAGCCCAGGCTGGAGTGTGAACACTGCTCACTGGTGCTTCAACCTCCTAACCTCAAGTGATCCACCCACCTCGGCCTCCCAAAGTGCTGGGATTATAGGCATGAGCCACCACACCTGGTCAACACATATTTTTAATGTGCATTTATGAGCAATGGGTTCAAAATCTAGTTATGTCCTTCATTAGCTGTGCAATCTTGGGCAAGTTACTTAATCTCTCTAAATCTCAGTTTCCTTATCAACAAACTGAGGATGATAGCACCTATGTCATAGGGGTTTTGTGAAGATTAAAGGAGATAATGCTTGCAAAGCACTTCCTGCAATGCTCTATAAATGCTAGCAAGGAATTGATTAATGATAGCTCTTTTATTCTTCTTCTAACAATGGTCTCTCAGAGAACCATTGCTTTGGTCTCAGGGAGAGAAGGTTTGGTGCAAAATCCTGAACTTCGCCCTCTTCCCTGGACCTGCTCCACTGTCCTGTATACTTTCTTTCCTTCCCTCACCATGTTGGACTTGTCCTGACTCTGTCCCTTAACACACACACACACACACACACACACACACACTCACAAAGTGTCAAATTGAGAGAGCTTCAAGCCACCTTCAGGTCATGTAGGCATTTTTTTGGAAGGAGGTTTCCAAAGACAATCCCTCTCATTCTGCCTGGTTTCTGCCTGACCTTGGGAGGGGACTCCAAAGTGATTTTCAGGGTACCCAAGATACCTCTTTTTTCCCAATTTTAGGATAGCCAACTCCCTTGTTCAATACCTTACTTCTAGAGTGCTTCCTTCCACACAGTGAGGGCCCCTTGTTCTCCCAGCCCCTCTATGGACGTAACAGTCATACTCCTTCCCCCTTGAAGAGAACGGCATACATTCTAAACTCTTCCACATCTTCCACCTTCCTTTGAGCCTCACCTGAAGATAGATAAGTAAAGATGATTGCTGGCACCTGATGCATGGGGAAACTGAGTCCCAGGGACTTGAAGTGACTCATCCAAGGACACAAAGCAAGTTAGTAGCAGACTCAGGACTTAATTCCAGAAATCTTGATTCCTAGGCCAGTGTTCTTGCCTTTATATTCCTAGAAGAATTCCTGTGGCTAGATTAATTGGCATCCAAGGACTTTAATCACACAGTCCTAGGTCTGTCTCTCCAACCTTCATTCTCATTCCCTTCATGCTTCCCCGTCAGGGGCCTTTGTACCTGCTGTTTTATCTAGGAGGCCTTTCTCCCAGAAATCCATGTGGCTTAACTAATTTCTCTTTCCTTTGACACCATCAGAAAAGACCCTCCTTGGTCACCTTTCTTCTTCCTGGCCCTCTTTATCTCCTTATTCTGCTTTATTTTCCTTCCTAACACTTATTGCTGAACATATCATGTTCTTATTTGATTGCTTTTTTTTTTTTTTGAGATGGAGTCTTGCTCTGTCACCCAGGCTGGAGTGCAGTGGTGCAATCGCAGCTCACTGCAAGCTCCGCCTCCCGGCTTCACGCCCTTCTTCTGCCTCAGCCTCCCAAGTAGCTGGTACTAAAGTTGCCTGCCACCACACCCGGCTAATTTTTTGTATTTTCAGTAGAGACAGGGTTTCACCATGTTTGCCAGGACGGTCTGGATCTCCTGACCTCATGATCCACCCACCTCGGCCTCCCAAAGTGCTGGGATTACAGGCGTGAGCCACCGCGCCTGGCCATTTGCTTGCTTTTTAAAACCTATCTTTCACAATTAGAATCAGAATAGGGACTGTTTTCTTCACTGCTGCACCTCTAGTGCCTAGAGGAGCATGTGTGGCACTTAAATGTCCAATAACTGTTTGTTGAATTGTATGAATAGATATAGTAAATATCCATCCAAACTGGACCATTCAGGTTCCCCTGCCTTTGCCCATGCAATTCATTCTGTCATGTCAGAGAGGCTTTATATATTAAATGGGCATTTTACTGTTGCTTCCTCTGTAAAGCCTTTCTTGGTTCTTCAAAGATAATGCTGGGACTGGTGTACACACCTGTAATCCCAGCTACTCAGGAGGCTGAGATGGGAGGATTGCTTGAGCAATCCTCAAGGAGCTAGGATTACAGGCGAGCTGGCGGCTGCAGTGAGCTACTATCCTGCCACTGCACTCCAGCCTGAGTGACAGAGGGAGACTCCATCTCTCTCTTAAAAAAAAAAAAAAAGAAGAAGATACTGCTAAACGACGTGTTAAACTCAGAATACCAAATCACCTGCTACTGTCATCTCCCACCTACACCTGTACTATGGAGGTGTACATCTCTTATAATGCATTATAAAAATTGCAACCTTGAACTGGTAAGCCAAAATGTCAAGTTATCCTCTTGTTGAATGGAAAAAGAAAAAAGAAAAAAACAAACCAAAGGAAAACTTGCCAGTAGAGTCACCTCTTGTTTCACAGATAGCCTCTTTGACATCCAGCATTATAAAGAAAGGTTAGATGTGAGTTTTGCCCAAATTCACT